GCAGTACCAGTACCTTCAAAGGGAACTGCAAGCCTGAAGACCCTGACAGAGGAGATTGTGAGGTTTGCGCTTGAAAACTCAGCAAGAGAACCATGCATCGTCCAGGCCGACAGTGAGCGAGCCACTCGGCAGTTGCTCAGATCAGTGCAGCAGGTCCGAAGTGTGCTGGGGATGAAGACGGAGATTCGACTCACCGGTGCCGGCCAACATGCCTCAAATGGACAAGTGGAGCGAGCTGTTCAGACGATCAGGAGGATGGCAAATTGCCTGAGGTGGTATGCAGAAGACAAAGCCAGGATTGATATTGCCGGGAACTTTGACATCTTTCCGTGGGCATTCAAACATGCTTCGTTCCTGGTCAACAGATTTCGAGTTCTGGATGGCTCAAATCGCACCAGCTTCGAGTTAGCTACTGGACATCCATACAGAGGGAAGCTGGCATTGTTTGGGGAGAGTGTGATGTTCAAGCGCTCCATTCGCAACAAGGGCAGTGCAGTGTTCGAGAAAGGCGTTTGGGTGACCAAACATCCATGGAACGACAATCATGTCCTGCTGTCAACTACTGGGGCCTACGAAGCTCGCACAATCAGAAGGTTGTCACCAGAGGAGAGTTTCAGCGGGCCCGAGATCTTCACAGCAAAAGGCTTGCAATGGAGTTACTCTGCGCAAGGAATCCTAATGAAACATGCAGGCCGAGCACAACGGTACAGACAACCCACAATAGAGATGGAAGCCAGCGAGGAAGAGCTAAAGGAGATCGCACAGGAAGTGGCAACTGGAGTGGTGACGCCAGCACCTGGACTACAAGCGCAACCAGCTACACCAGGTGTGACATTGACGATGAGTGGTTCAACAACGGCGCCAAAGACTCCAACAGCTGGACCAACAAAGAGAAGGTTGGATGAAGAAGGAAAGTTGGAGGAGGAGAAAGATGGAAAGAGACAGGACACAACAGAATCTCCAAGGAAGGCTGCTGAGAAGAGATTTAGAGAGGCTGGAGAGGAGACAGAGGAGAAGAGAGGAAGAAGAGAGCAAGTAGAAGGTGACAGAGATCAGGATGCACCGATGCATGAACCTGCAGGGTCACCAAGAATGTCTCCAACTCACGCTGTAGAACATCTGTATCCTCCTCACTACGCAAGGATGGAAGCAGTTGGAGCCTATGTCAAAGAGCCACATGGAGATGAAGAAATGGATCCAGAGTTGCTACCCGAGGAGATACTGGAAGAACAGTTTTTGGGGAGCTATGGGGGAGAAGAAGGTGATGACCCTCCAGAAGTGTCAGCAGAAGAGCTAGAACTCCTGGACAAGGCCGCACGTGACAAGGAGATCGAGCGTATGATCAACATGCCGGCCATGACAGAGACAAACCAAGCAGAGGTGGATGAGACAGGGGGCTACATCATTAGCACCAAGGTGGTACTATGCTGGAAGCACCGTGTCGAGCAAGGAGGATGGTTCAGGTGTGCGAGATTGGTAGCAAGACAGTTCAGAAACAGCATAGAACTTGATGCCACATTCGCTCCCACATCCATCATGGCAATACCCAAATTGCTCATCCACTACCTGCTCAACGTCAGAAGGGAGTTCGTGGTAGTCACTTTGGACATCAAAGATGCCTTCCTCATGGCACAGCAACCTCTCACCGAGAAAGCCTATGTGCAGGTTGACAGCCGCATATTCAAACTTCTGAGATGCCTGCCAGGACAAAGAACAGCGGCATCGCAATGGTTTCAGTTGTTCGCCTCAGCCTGTCGAGAACATGGACTTGAGCAAGATCCAATGCAACCAACGCTGATGTTCATCAGGCACCTCATCTACCTCACGGTACATGTTGACGACGTATTCATCGTCGGGAGAGAGGACAAGGTAAGAGACCTCGTGCACTACTTCAAGGAGGAGAAACAGTGGAATGTAGAAGAGAAAGGACCCTTTAGCCACGGAGACAAGTTCTTTTACGTGAGGAGGCAGTTCAACCTTGGACGAGCTCACTGCGGCATCAGGTGTGACAGGAAACAGTACGACAGCTTTGAGAAAGACGTGGACATCTATGCAAAGTTCTACAGAAAGACACCGCTGGATGCCAACTTCGGGAAGAAGGATGACTCAGAGTTGTTTGAGAGTGGTGAGGTCACAAGGTACAGGAGCATTGTTGGAAGATTGATGTACATGGCGGGAGAGTGACCAGACGCACAATATGCAATTCAATGTTTGGCAAGGCACATGGCCAAACCAACAAAACAAGCTCTCCAGAACGCCTGGCACACATGCTCCTACATGTTCGGTACAAGTGGCTATGGAGTCCGACTGGAAGAGAAGAAGAAGGGACAGTCGATGATGGACTTCAGAGATGTAGCTGAGGTGGAAGACGGAGAGGAGCACCTGCTGGAGATTGTAACAGACTCCGATCACGCAGGGAACAAGAATGACAGAAAGTCCACAACATCCATGCAGCTGTACCTGGATGGCAACTTGATTGACAGCAAAGTGCGAAGTCAAAAGGCCATCGCTTTGTCCTCAGGTGAAAGCGAATTCATGGCCTTGGTGTCGGGATGCTCGGAGGGAATGCTCCTACGACGCCTGTGGAACCAGATCACAGGCGGCAGCTGCAGAACAAAGGCCAGATCAGACAGCTCAGCGGCGCGTGGCATGACACAGAGACAAGGCATTGGAAGGGTGCGTCACATGGACGCAGCAATGCTATGGATCCAACAAAAGGAAAGGGACAAAATCATACAAGTGGGTCCCATTCCAACAGACTTGAACAGCGCAGATATCCGCGCAAAGAATCTGCCAAAGAAGAGGCTTCGTGGGCTGCTCTACATGATGGGAGTGATCGACGCCGTGGGTGACCGCGTGGGAGAAGAGCAGTTCCAAGAGATCGAGAAAGAGTACCAGATGAAGATGAGCCTGAAGAAGTTCAACAAGAGCAAAGATCTGAGGATTGGTCTGTTGATGCTCATGGCCAACCTTGGAAAGGCAAGCGGTGAACCAGCTGAAGAAGGACAACCAGGAGATCAAAGGATTGACCTTAGCTGGTGGGCATTTTGCCTATGTGCATTGCTTGGGGCCTTGAGCCTATGCGCATGGATGCGCGACTATGTGAATGCTCTGATGAAGGGCATTGGAATCTTCTTGCAGAACATCAAGAAGACCACGATCCAGATGAAGAACACCTACAAGAGTGTGAGAGCGGAAATGAAGGACAGCGGAATCCAAGCCCCACAGTGGCTTGATGCGCAACACTGTGCCAAATGTACAGATAGGATCAAAGCCTTGGAATTTGAATGTTTTTCCAAGGGGACATACATAGAGGAACTTGAGGCACAGATGGAACGAATGAAGGAAAGTTTGGGTGATTTTTTGAAAGAAAGGGAAATTGCAGAGAAGTACAGCAGCAGGCTTGAAGAACGCCTGCACCAGCTTCGAATGACACCAGCTGGTAGGGCTCTGCATTTCTCCCGTGCATGCCCTCATTTTGCAGGGCAACTGAAGTCAGGATGTGTAAACTGTCCCTGACAGAAGGAGGAGTGACTGAAATCATGACATGAGCGGACAGTCTGTCAGGCATAGCATGCACACACCAACACGGATGGCCATATAGGCCCAAAGCTTGCGGTTGAAAACGCGCTCCGCATCCTTTCAGCTTCTCAATTCTTTTCTTAAGATATGTCCGCCTGCTCTGTACGGCTGTGTCCGTCTTTGCCTTGCAACCCTTTACACTTGTCTCCCAGCTCTGGGCTGCTGTGGCCGCCTCTGCCTTGCGCAATCCTTTGTCCAAGCTCTAGTTTCGATTTTGAAAAACACAAACTGTTTGGGGTCTACAGTGGTGTAATTTTGATCGCTGCGTCGCAGGTCATGCGCATCGATCCCTTCTTGGTCGCTGCGGGAGGGGGCTCCTCCGCTCTCGAACTCTTCGGCGATGTGGGAACCACAGGCATGTTGTTGATTCATGTTGATTTGTTTATATAAATTTGACAGACCTTCCCTTTTGTCACTTCAAAAGTATGAGCAGTATCAGCATATCATGCGATGCACTCCGCCAGTCCCTATTAGGCTACAAGTGGCTGCATGGGGTAATGAGCCAAACGAGCTCCATTTATGCCGTGCCAGCGGGTGCATCAACAGTGCTTGTCATAGACACAGCATCGCTCAATGTTTCGGAGTTAGTCTCTTGGCGACGAAGGCTCTTTGTTCACATAATAGCGATGGCCTCCCCCTAGTACCGATGGCCTCCAACCTAATAGCCATGGGCTATGGCCTCCACCCGTTCCACCCCTGTTTCTTGCACTGTTGTGGCTCTCATGACATAATGGTCGTTGTTGCCAAGGCTATCGGAGCAACTCTACCCGCATCTTTCGAGAACTTTGTACATAGTGCTGGAGTCCAAGACCCTGCAGACATTGCATCAAGTTGCCTGCTTTTGACATGAATTGTTCTATGGCTTCCAAACGCCCCCCAAAGCCCACCAAAGCCCATGGTGTGGCTAACATGGTCATCATTTGCTTGAGGTCCTTTCGCCTCAAGGCGACATTTTTGGCATTCCTGCTGACTCGACTTTTGTGTGCCTTGGGATGCGACATGCCGCTTCGGATGGCAAAACATGTCAAAACAGACTAACAGATGAGTCAACCTACGGTGTTGAGATTCCTTGCTGGCAGTGAACACTTCCGCGGCCCCTCGTTGAGCACCCTGACACACTGAAGCGACGACAAAGCACGAAAACCCTTGGGGTCAGGACGGTTACAGTAGTACATGTGTGTTTCCTTTGTCACATTGGAACCCCAACCCCATTCAAGTACCGGTTGTCTGATGCCCCAAAAGTCTGAACATTTTGGAAGGTCAAGCGGGCAGTCTTGGCATGCAGATGCATGCAGCGTCTTCTACTTGACATAGAACTCTAGAGGCTTGACATGACTTTTGAAGTTCTAATCGAAAAGATTGAAGAGACCATGGACCACAGCTTTGGATGAAGCTGAGGTGATAGGGTGATTGATGAATTGGGATAGTACAATAGCTTCGTGTAGCTTCTAAGTTGCTCGAGAACATCCATAACATTGTTTCTTGAAGAAACCAGGCTTCTACGCCAAAAGCACGTGTGCAGAGAGGTTCTCTTCGTCCAATGCAACAAAAGGCATCACAGGGCCACAGGGCTGCCTGCAATTCGTGGGAGGGCTTCTATGACAGTTTGTCCCACTTAAGCGGTCGTATTTCTTCGAATGCAACGGGTCTCAGAATCGACCACAGGCTCGTTGCGGGTGTGGTATTGACCCACGTGAAGAGACGACTCGCGACCCTGAACCCTGAACTGACGACGTCCACCGGAAGCAGGGCGGCCGCATCTGAGGCTTTGGATTCGGCCTTCAACCCAGGCACCAAGTTCTGGGAGGTTTGACCATTTATTTTTGCGGGAGGCTTCAGTCTTCAATGTGTTCCTTGGGTGTTTGGAAGAAATGTGGGTGTCTCAAATGAAGGGAACCTTCAAAGATGAAGGACGTATCTCTGAGATGCGTGTATATGTACTGTATGTGACTGGCAGTTAGACTTCAACATAAGGAACTAGGAATGTAGTTGGAATATGAACATGTAATTCGGAGCTTCCATGCACTTAGAATTTACACCAATGCACTTAGAATATACAAGAGACATACAAAACAAGAGTGATACATTTTAGCTTCTCGATGATTTTTAATGAGGAGGTGCCAAAAGATAATGCTAGTAAAGTTGGTTGATGACTGTCGTAATCCGTGCTTGTGTTGCTTTTGTTTTAACAGCCGCTCGCAAGAGAATCGGGCAACATCACCCAGGTGGGCACCGCTAGGTTTGCGTTTGCAGTATGGTCCCATGTGGTGTTGATTTAACAGCTGCTCCTTGTGGTGCTCCTTTGGTGTGCGCAGTCCTTGTGGGTGCTCCTTTGGGCCTGTGGAAGTGCTATGAAGTAGAGCAGGGGACAAAGACCAAACAGAGACAGCAACAACAACAAGTATGGTCTTCCGTGGTGTTGATTCAATGGCTGTTCCGTTCCACCATATTCTAACTGCATCGTATTCTATGTGCTATTTTTACCAGGTGTGCCTCAGTGAATTAGAATCCTAATTCATGTGTTTCATTGATTTATATTCTATCTCCTGGTCACTTACTGTATATATAATTATACACACATGTTTGTGGTATATACATCAGCGATGAGTGGTCGTTACTTGTGACTTAAGTTATGAGGAGTTCATGCATTTGGTTGAAGGTCTTGAAATCCATCTTCTGGATACGCCGAGTCCACGTTCTCCGAGCTGCTGCCTCTCAGGCAGTGTCAACGCTTGGAAATTTCAGCAGTGACACTCTCAAGTGGCCAGGGGCCCCGGGCCCTTGGATCGGCATGCGGGAGGTACTTTGGCGTCTCGTCACAGGGCGAAACAACGAGATCTCCGATCTTGGCGGGAAGAACATCATTGTCTCTTTATTTAGTTGTTCTGTATTGTTTCACTGGAAGGTATGCAGGTCCGTCAAAGATTCTTACTGATGATATTTTAAATTATGTAATGTCAGCAATCTCTGCAGGGCGGTTAGTTCAGTATCTGTTGTTGCGTAGCTAAATTCTAAGTCCAACAAAGTTCTGGGATTCTCGCAGGGGCTCTGGCATCTTGGGCCTCGATGGCATCATCTACGGCATCCCTGGAGCCGCCACAGTGGGAGCTCCATATCATTGAGGGGGGTTGGTAGTGTTCACTGAAAGTCAAGGGCGAGCGCTAGTAGGGTTTGATAGCTTGGCGAATTCGGTGTTTCGATATTCTTCCGTTGGAAGTGAGATTTCCGAACGTTTCCTGAAGGATGAACATATGATGGTTCACTAATTACTATAGATGTTTGATCATCTCTTTGTCTTCGTGATCCAAGGTGATTCTTCGAATCGACCCAGCCACTGATCCGCCGACGCTGGATGAGACTCTGGGAGTCTGATCCTAAGTCTAAGTGGGAGGTTCCTCAGGAAAGTGCCTTTGCACTGACAGCTTTGTATATGATCTGCTGCTGCTCACCTGGTTAACCTTGCTCTTTACTTTTATAGGTCTTCGAGTGCAGAAATGACTCACGCCTGTGACTGTCAGAGTTGCATTTCAGGACGGACTATTTGATGCCACCACGCAGAAATGGTACCGCGCCCAGTTGTGGTTGCTGTTGTTGTTGTTG